CATCTTCCCCTTTAGTTCTCCAAGGGAAAGACACTCACTGGGAATTAATAGAAAAGTCCAATCCCTTACCTACGCATCAGGTGTCACAAAGCACAAAGCTTTACCAAGCCAAGAAAAAAATCCTGTCATGAAGAGGATAATTGCTTCCACATTTAACACCTCCAAAAAGGACACAAATAGCTAAAAGCAGACTATTTTAAAACTATATGAAATCATTCTAGTAGAAAAACTCAAACTTACAAAGTGCTAGAAAAAAATGAAGATCAATTAAATGTCATTTGCCTTGAGAGTCCATTTAGCGCATGCAGGGAGAGCGAAAGCTCCCTCTGTGCACTTCTGGGTGGGGAGAGCTAACATCACCCAGAGGAAGGAAGTTAACTGGGCTTTTGTACCACGAGGTGATAATCAAGATGATATGAAAAGACCTGGGGTTGGCCAAGAACTCTTCTTTTGGATGAACTGGAGAGCACTTTAGTCTTGATACCTAAAGGACATACACAGACCGTCTCTGGCCTGAGTCTCCCACTTGTCCTATCCCACTTCTACGGTCTGCTCAGCTTGACATCTCTTAAATCTATTCTCCTCCAGGACTTCCCTGTCATCATCCCTTCCTTAAAACCATCTTCCTACTCCTACTTCCTACTTCCTAGTCCATGTTAATAGACTATTTTTCACAGCCAATTGAGATCTCATCTGCATCTTCCATTCCTCTATTTAGCCATGAATTTTTATAATTAGTGTCAGATTGGGAGAAATTTGATGAGTTATGATTCAAATAGTGCAGAGGTTTGGGGCCCAATAGAGTTTAAATTAGTAACTCAACCATCCTAGTGACTTCAAGGCATGGCTAAGCTTGGAGCTCACAGAGACACATGAAAGAAAGAGTTTGGAAGATCCAGGTTCCATATAACACCGAAACCAGCAGTCTGCACCCCACATGCAGGGTCCAACCCTCCTCTCAGAGCTGGGGAAGTCACACACATAACAGTCCTCATTCCTTTGGGTGAACAAATTTCTTTCACTCTTCCAGATTCTCCCATGGAACTAGCAGACTTTGAGACAGCCTAAAGTACACTAAATGATGCAATGGGAGTTTTACAGCAATTCTCAGGGCCCAAAACAGTGTTTGAGATTCAGTAGGCTTTCTATAAATGTTTGCTCAATTGATAAGAGAAACCCAGTTACATATTCTGCTGGGAAAAGTCGCCTTTGGGAGTTGCATGGCTGAATGTGTGATTAAGTGCATGTGTTTGAGGGGGCAGGATTCTCACCAACTTAGCCAGCCCCCCACCAAAAGCCCTACTTAGGGATTTATAACAACAGCCTTCACTCTGGATTGGTGTGTGTGTGTGTGTGTGTGTGTGTGTGTGTGTAAAATGATTATTTTCTTCAGTTAAGCCTACACAAGGGCATTTCTTATGACAATAATTGTATATTGGCTCAACTTACAGTTTCAACTCTTAGATAATAAACAAATGAAGAATTAAAATCTGCTGCCCAAAGAGCACCAGATCCTTACTCTCCAAAGAGGTACAAAGTACAAATGTCATCTTCATACACACAAAACTGGAAGATATGTGTGTGCACTCACTTATGTGTGCACATACATACTGCCTACTCTTGAGGCAACTGATGCTTCTTGCCCTCCCCTGATCCCTCCAGCCCCAGGGCATATTGTAGAGGCACTGGATTCCAGATGAGTCAGGCTGAGCTTCTGGGAACACTGCCACAGTGATCGTAATACCCTGTAGCTCTTTAGCTTTCTGCAGAAAGAAAAAGCTCTGGCCTAATTATGGTGACTAGTTTTTCCACCCTACAGCAGCCGGGTGACTACAATTCAGGCTGATGATAACTCCTAGAAATTCCTAGAAAGAACAAGGGTGTGAAGAGCAGCCGGTTTCTTATTATGATCAAAGAACCTTATACTTGACCACCCCACTTCCAACTCCAGGGCTCTGCTAACATATTCTTTATAGAAGTCACCAATGTTCTATTTGCCAAACTGCACAGTTCCTCTTCCGTCTTCTTTTCACCTTCCAGTGGCAGAGGCTGCTAGCTGCTCACTAAATCTACTTCCTCTTCCTCCTGGGTACCTGGCTAGACTACTTTTCCCAGCCTCCCTTTGCAGTTAGGTGAGGCTGTGTGATTGGCTGCTCTCAAGTAGAAGTGCTATGTGCTACTTTCAGGCCTGGGGTTATTGTAATTACGTTTCACCATTAATTTTAAAATTTCTTAAGAATTATATAATTGTCATTGCTATTTTAAGTGAGGTTCATTTTTATAGTAATAGTATGCAAATAATGTGTCAGGGAAACTTGATTGTTATTTACTAGCTATTTCCTATAATACTTATTATAATTAAAGCACAGTATGATATTTAAAGTACTGGTCAGAAAGATCAGAAATTTGGGGGTTTGTCAGCGTGGGCCTTTTATCCTTACCTCAAAACCTGGTAATAAAAACGATCCACTCCATTTAACTCCCAGATTTGTTGCAAAAGCTATTATTTCATTTTTCATTTTTAAGAAAAAAAGTAGATTGTTTTAAAATATAATTTAAAGTCACAATGCTCATTCCCATCTCAGATTAAAAAGCTTTCAAAATTCTCTAGTTTCCTATTAAACAGAATAACTTAGAAGAAATGAAACCTGAAATTTCTATAGCAGAATCAAAACATGAAAAATATTTTCTCACCACTCCTCATCTGTTCAACCTCACAGAAGTGCATTCCAGTGGGAGTATGAATAAATGCGTGGACATGCTTAGCTCCATTCTGAAAATGAGAAACCAACATTGTTTCCAATAAAATTTCAGCATGTCATAAAGCCAATTTCTTTAATTAAACTGAGAGCACAAATAAGTAAAGTAACCTTTTCAAAACGCTTCCAAGGGACTTCTTCCACGTAGACTTGAGCTCTGATGACGTGGTTAAAAGAAGAAAGGAAATGTTCACAGATATTCATAGCAAAAGTTTCTATGCTTTTGATCTGTAAAAAGAAACAAAATGGGGGTGAGACCAAGATGGTGGCATAGGCCTCCCACAACCACATCAAAATTACAACTGAAATATAGAACAACCATTAGCCAGAACCATCAGGAAGCTGGCTGAATGGCAGTCCTACAACTAAAGAGGTAAAAAAGAAAGAACACAAAGACTGGTAGGAGGTGTGGAGGCATGGAACGGGCTGGTCCAGCACCCACGTGTGCCAATTTTTAATTAGGTGGGAGATTGTCTCTGCAGAGGCCGCCCAGGGGAGCAAGGGGTCCCAGCCCCACAACAGATGCCCAGCCCAGGGTCCCAGAGCTGGGAAAAGAAGTCCCTGTAACTACAGCGGCAAAAACCAGTGCAGATTGGGGCTCACTGACACAGAGGCTGCTGGAGACCCAGCTGCTCCTCCTAAAATGTTGGCAGACAAATTGAACTTGCAAGATCCCACTTCCTCTGAGCTCCAGTGCCAGGGCAAGGCTCTCAGGACACAGACACATACAAGGAGGAACTGGATTGTCTGGCATTGGGGCAGGAACTCGGGGGTGGTGTTCTCCCAGACGAGGTACTTGCAGGGATCATTGTTCTTATGCTGGGACGTCCCCAGTCACAGGGCTGACTGACAGCCATTTCTGTTTGCTCCACCCTCGTGATTCCCTCAGACCCGCCTCATCCAATTTTCAGCCACATCCAACCGGTGTGCAGCAGATTTTGCATATGAATAGCCTGTCCTTGCTCAGGCTAAAATCTGTCAAACAAACTGCAGCTGGTCAGGGAGCCCCAAACCTATCAATAAATGGCCCAAGACCCGGCACCAGCACCCACCTGCCTTGCTTCACAGATGGGCCTCATCTGGGCACTTCTGAACCTGATACAAAGGAAAGGAATCTGTAGATCTCTCTATAGCTCCTGCTGTGTGGCCCCAGGCAGTGGTTGCCTTTACTCCTCTCTGGACACTCAAGAGCCAGTGTACCCAGTGTCAGATCATACCAAATTACAACTCTGCACATCCATAAATAACACACTCAGATTCAGTGAATACCAAAGCCCCACTAAAGCAAGTCCTACTCCATAGTGTGTTTCCTGCACACCAGCTCTCCCTCTGTAGTCACAGCTGGTCCTCATAGCCAATTGGCCTGGAAGTCAATTCCTCCCAGTGACACCAACAGCAATCAAGTCTCATTAGGTTGTTTTAGCCTTTTATTTTCAACAATGTTGCATTAATTCTGAAACTCACTTTGCATATGAAAATGAAGTATGTTAAATTTTCCAAATGAAATTTTGAGTCAACT